TATGCCACCAGGGCTCCTCCAAGGGTAATCACTCACCTGGTTTCTAACACCAAAAATGAGCTTGGCCTGTTTCTGTTGTTGTTGTTGCTAGGTGCCATGGAGTTGGTTCTGACCCTTATGCACAACAGAAGGGAACACTGCCCCGTGCTGCGCATTCCTCACAATTGTTTCCCTGCTTGAGGCCACTGCTACAGCCACTCTGTCAGTCCCTCTGGTTGAAAGCCTTCCTACTTCCCAACCCTCCATTCTTCCAAACTTGATGTCCTTCTCCAGGGACTGGTCTCCCCTGACAAAATGTTCAAAATATGTAAGGCAACGTCTCACCATTCCTTGCCTCTAAGCAGCTCTCTGGCCCTACTTCTTCACAGACAGATCGGTTGGTCCTTTGAGCAGCCCACGGTGCTTTCCGTAGTCTTCCCCAGCACCACATGTCAAATGCACCGATTCTTCTTTGGGCTTGCTTATCCAGTGTCCCACTTTCAAGTGCACATGAGGCCATTGCAAAGACCATGGCTTCGGTCAGATGCACCTTAGGCCTCAAAGCAGCATCCTTGCTTGTCAATAGGCTACAGAGGCCTTCTGCGGCAGCTTTCCCGAATGCCTGGTTTGAGCCTCTCGGCAGTGAAAGCCCAGGGCGTGCCCTTCTGTCTGAGTTCCTTTGCTCATCACTTGGCGGGGAGGCTTGCCCACGCCGTGGCAAGCAGGCAGGCTCAGTCAGTCCTCTTGCTGGATGGTATGCATTCTTGTACTCCTCTCAGCTGTGGATGGCACTTGGGTTATTTCCAGCTTAAGGCTACTGGGCATGTGCTCCTAGCAACCAGCTTGAACCTACTATGTGCCATACAGTGGACTTGCTGGACCACAGGGTCTGCTTATTTTCAGTAGATACCGTGCAATAATAGTAAAGAATACTGTGGCGAAGTGGATGACATGTGGGGTGGTTGCAAAAGGTAGCAGTTTGAATCCACCTGTCACTCCTTGGGAGAAAAGATGCCTGGTCCTAGAAAGATTTACACCCTGGGAAACCCACAGGGGCAGTTTTACCCTGTCCAATGAGGCCAGACTCGAGTTGCTGGCAGCATTTGGCGTGTGTGTGTGTGTGTGTGTGTGTGTGTGTGTGTGTGTGTGTGTAATAGTATTCCAAAGTCATTGTTCAATGTACAACCGTGCACTGAGAGGTCCAGGTTTGGCAGCCTGTCCCTCCCGTTGTACCCTTTGTGGTGGGTGTGTAAGGGTGACCCATGGCAAGTGGTTTTTCTTTCACTGTCATGGTGAATAATAATGTGGGGCACGTCTTCATCTCATTCTCGGCCACTTGCTCAGCCCCTTTGGGACATGTCTGTCTAAGTCTTGTCCTTCTCACTACTGGGTTTCTCCTTTTCTTCTGGGTTTTCTGAACCGGACTCACTGCCATGAAGTCAGCTCTGGCTCATCGGGACCCAACAGGACAGAGTAGGACTGCCCCTGTGGGTTTCCATGAGAGAGAGAAGCAGCCTCTGTCCAGTTCCATAAATAGTTACAGTCTCAGAAACCCAAGGGGCAGTTCTACTCTGCCCTATGGGGTCGCTATGAGTTGGCATGGACTCGGTGGCAGTGGTTTTGGGTGAAAGCAGAATGAGGCTCCCCACTTCGAGGAGAGTTCAACAGGAGACTGGATGGCTACTGCCTAGCAGGCGTCCTGAGGAGAGAACCCTGCACTGGGTGGATGGGCTAGATAGTAGTGCCCATAAATGCATAAAGTTCCCCACGTAAGCAATGCGTTTATACACATCTGAGTTCCTTTGGCCCTTTATATGATCTAGCAAAATAGCACCAATGTCTCTACTCTCTTTTGAAATGTTGTTTCTGTTGTTTTTACACCTGTCTCCCTTGAGGTTCCCTCCCTGCCCGCCTTGGCTCAGCATAGTTGAGTGCTCACTCGGTGATTGGTCAGACGCTGGTCCTAAATACCTTGCACTAGCAAGACTTCCATCCTTTGCTGATGGATCTGTGTGAGGGCTAGGGGATGCAATTTGTGAATCTACTCTATCACTTTCTGAGTGTTCGAGACCAAACACTTGGCCAAGGATGAGCATTATTGAGGGTCGGCTCTGGTCTGTCCTGAGTATGCATGTAGCTTGATGCCTACACACCTTCCCGGGAATACTCAGAAACAAGGAATCTTAAGGATGCTGGTGGCAAAAGAAACCAGGAGGGGTGATCACCACTGCTAGCCTGAGGCTGTGATACCAGCTGAAGCAGATGACAGACAGACAGACCAGACTCCAGAGAACCAAGCTCACCGCCATGGAGCCAGTGCTGCCTCATAGTCACACAGCAGGACAGGGACAAGCTCTTTACGGGGGTAGAAAGCCCCGCCTTTCTTCCGTGGAGCAGCTGGTGGTTTCAAACTGCTGAGCTGGCCGTGGGCAGCTCAACTTGTAACCACAATGCCACCAGAGCTCCTTGACCTTGAATTCAGCAAGTTTCATTTGCAGAAACAAAATGGTGTACATGAGAAATGATGGCGCTGACCCTTAGAGAACTTGAGGTGCTAGCAGATCTGAGTTCGGTGGCTGCAGACCTAAATCAAAACATTCTCGATTAAGAAAGCCAGTCAGCTTTTTTTCCTGGGCAACACACGACTGCTTGAATCAGGAAGAAGAATCAGAAAGTCTAACCTATGACAAGAAGTGTTTCCCAAGGCTATTGAGTCGATTACAACTCCTGGCCATCTGGCATCAGGTTTCTGAGACTCTACATCTTGACAGGAGCAGGGAGCCTCATCTCTCTTCTGCAGAGCCACTGGTGGGTTTGAACCACCGGCACTGTTGTTAGCAGCCCAATGCCTAATTGTTTCGTATTTGTTAAAACTCACTATCTTCACAGCCCCTTGAATCACCAGGCACATCTGTCTAAGCCATCTTTGCTTCTTCAACAAGTAAACGAGCTCAGCAGAGTTTGCAACCACCACTTGCTCTAAGGGAGAAAGGTGTGCCTGATGGCTTACAGGAACCCCACAGGTGTGGGAAACCGAGGACCTGGAAGGAGGTGTATGCGGCCTGCTCCCAGCATGCGTGACTACAAGGCTTGGCACGCCCTGCCCAGCGTGAGGCTGTGGGGAAAGTGCCTCGATGCACAATGTCCCAGGAAGGACGTGACTCCACAGCCCGCCTGCCCCCCATAAATGCTTGACAACGTTGTGTCCTACAGATTCGTTTATCTCAGAGAACATTTGCTCCCTGGTCGCTTTATCTTCAGGAGCGTTTGCTCCTCTTGTCTCATATGCTTGGTGCTCCCTTTAAAGCAGCGGTTCTCAACCCGTGGGTCACGACCCCTTTGGGAGTCAAACGACCTTTCACGGAGATCGCCCAATTCATAACAGTAGCAAAATGACAGCGATGAAGTAGCAAGGAAAATAATTTTATGGTCACCACCACATGAGGAACTGTATGAAAGGGTTGAGGCACGAGGAAGGCTGAGAACCACTGCTTTAAAGTATTCCCACTGAATACTTGGAATGCCAAGACTAGTACACTGCCCATCTGTTTGGTGCATATGCTTAACGGGAGGCTTGCATGCCTCGAGAGCTGCAAGAGCCCATTGCTGAATAAACTCTGGGCTCTTCTCCCTCTTCTCGCTTCTCCAGAGCATGGAGCTGAGTCCCCTGGGCCCTTTTTCCTGTCTTCCTTAATTGCCCATGTCGCTCCAGGGTTCCCTTCGACTGTGAGGCAAGACCCCCCCCCCCTCAGGAGCAGTTATACCCTGCCCTAGAGGGTCACTGTGAGTTGGAATCAGCATGAAGGAAATAAGTTTGTGGTTTGCGAGGGAATGGGCTGCTGAAGGATCCCTGGTAGTTTAGGGGTTACTTGTTGGGCTGCTAACTGCAAGATCAGCAGTTCAAAACTACCAGCCGATCCTCGGGAGGAAGAAGCTTCTACTCCAGCAAATAGTTACAAGTCTGAGAAACCCACGGGGGCAGTTCTACCCTGTCCTGCAGGGTCTCCATGAGGCAGCATCAACTCGAGGGCATTGAGTTTGGTCCAGAGCTGCTGCGGGAGCCCTGGTGGTATAGTGGATTTCGAGTTGGGCTGCTAACCACAAGATCAGCACTTTGAAACCACCAGCTGCTCCTCGGGAGAAAGATGAGGCTTTGTCTCCTGTACAGTCCTATAAGGTTGCTGTGCATTGAAAACCCAATGGAAGTGGGTTTTAGACTGGGCTCGGAAGGAGAAAAGCAGGCAGAAGTTCTGCCCCTGTAGGGTCACTATGATCCAGGATTGACCTGATGGCAGTGAGTGTGGTTTGGGTTTGACTTTCAATCACAAGGCGACCCCACCTCCTCCAGCCCTACTTTCACCCCAGCCCCCACGCCCATCAAAATGTTGACCTAGTGTGGTTTCGAAACGCCACCTCAGTCAGGTTGTATAAGGAGACAAGGAAGGCAGGCGTGGCTAAGAATGGTCGACCAGCAATGCGTGATGGGACTCCGAATGCAGACTCGAGGCACGGAGGGGGTCCCACTCATCTCGACCACAGAGGCCAGTGGTCCTGCCAGAGGCCAGAAGAACTGCCCCCATGGGTCTCCCAGGCGGTAACTCTTCCCGGGAGTAGAAAGCCTAGTCGTTCTCCTACGGTGTAGCTGGTGGTTTCGAACTGCTGACCTTGTTGTTAATAGTCCAACATGTGACCACTGCGCCCCTCGGGCTCCACGCGTCAGTCCCCCTCCCTTTCCCAGCACCCCTCTCCTGGGTGTGAAACGACTGCCCTTTCTTTCCTTTACCGGATTAAAAAAAAACAGCTGTGTCTGCTGACGGAAAACGCACCGCATTTTCCCACGAGAGGCCAGGCGGACGGACTCCATTTCACGGAACGCAGCGATTCCTGCAACAAAATACTTTGTTTTATTTTCCAGTGATCCCTTCAACAAAATACTTTGTTTTATTGTCCAAGGTCACGCCAGTCCCGTGTTTTCACAAAGACACACGCATGCAAACGCTGAGCGGGCGAGCCTCGGGGAGTTGGCCTGGGTCCAGAGGCGCACGTGGAGGGAGAGGTCGCAGCTCACGGGGACCAGTCGGAGCGCGCCCTGCTCGCGCGGGGAGCAAGGAGCGGCTATGGAGGAAGCTTAGCAGGGCACCTTCTGCGCATGGGGTGAACGTTCGCGGGTGCCGCTGGCTGGCTGGTCAGGAGCTCCTGGATCTTGGCCTTGCACGCCTGGTTGGCCTCGACGCCTGCTTCAAACTCTCGGCGCTCCTCTTCCTTCTGGGCTTCCCGGGCCTGCTGCTGGGCCTCCATCTGCATCCGCAGCTGCTCCCTGTACTCCTGGGCTAAACAGCAGCGCCTGCAGCAGCAGAGAATGTCAAAGTCCAAGATGAGCCAAGTAAGACGTCGGATTTACAGAGGGTGGCACAAGGACCCCAGGTGACGCGGTGGGCTATGTGTTGGGGGTTCGTAATCCGCAGCAGCTCTGCCGAGAGAAAGAGGAGGCGTGCTGCTCCTATAAAGAGTTATAGTCTCAGAAATCCACAGAGACAGCCTTGCTATGAGTCAGTGCAACTTAGACTTTGGGGGTTGAGGAAGTGGATAGAGGGAAGGTATTATGGTTTGCATATACTTTTAAAGTCAAATTCAAAACTGGAAGCAGTCCTGGAAACAAAAACGGGTGAAAAATCCAGTTCTGTGTTTCCTCCAACAAATTCCAAACTCACTACCCTCGAGTCAATGCCGATGCATAGCGACCCTCTAGGACAGGGTAGAGCTGCCCTCGTGAGTTTCCGAGACGGTCACCCTTTATGGGAGTAGAAAGCCCTATCTTTCTCCCACATGTGTTTTTGACACAATAATAATTGAGAAAATCTTAGAGCAAATGCTGGTTTTAGGGGGGGGAGTCCATCTTTCCTGCTCATGATATTCAGGGCTACGTGAAGGGTGCCCTTGGCCTTGCTCCATCCCCTGCCCACTGCCCCAGGTAAGGAAGAAGGGGCGGGTCTTTGGTAAAATTGAAAAGAATGAACAGGCCTGGCCAGTCTCGTTTTATTTTCTGTCTTGGCAAAGACATGCCTGTTTTCTCCTCCACTTTCTATCAAAGGGGTAGGACCCCGCAAGGGAGGGCTACAGCGGTGGGGCACTAGTGGTGACTTGGGGGATCAGTTTGTTACATTCTGCTCAGTCTCAACACACCCAACATCTTGCACATTTTTTTTTTCATCTTGCACATTTTAAAGACATGGGCCGCATTTTTTATTTCAACTTTTATCAGAAATAAAGATGAAGGTGCAGCTACCCCTCAAGAACAGATGGTATTTTTCAAAGATGGCCCCCATAATATCTCCCTTCTCACATACGTTTCTGCAAAATGAACTTGCTCCTCTCCGATACAGACGCCTCAAATCCAGTGCTGTCAAGCTGATTCCAATTCATGGTGCCTGGGGGGGGTGGGGGACTTCTGAGGCTCGTCCTGGGAGCATGTGGTCTCATTTTTGCCCTTGGAGCAGATGAGTTTGAACCTCTGACCTTTTGGTTAGCAGTCCAGCACTTACCTTCCAACCCCATCAAGAGCAGGGGCATATTTTGCCCTTGTACCTGGACAGGCATTGGGACTGTTTTATGAACAATAGAAGGCGGCAGCAGTGATGCTGTGCCCAGTATTGGATGTAGCTCTTAGGCCTGGCAGCTTCTTCTTCCTGTTTCTTAGAATGCTTCCTATTGAGAAATAACCACCATCCTGTAAGAAGCCCAAGCCACGTGGAGAGGCAATGTGTAGGAGTTTCAGTCGACAACACCGCAGAGATCCCTGACTACCGCCAGCATAAACTGCCCGCTGTGTGACTAAGTATCTTAGCTCTCCAGCCCAGGCGAACCTTCCGATGAAGTAGCCCGGAGCCCACATCTAACTGCATCCACCACAGAGAATCCTCCACGGAAGAGCTGTCCGGCTAAGCTTTGTCTGTCCACAGACCCACGAGATAGTTTCTTCAATCACAAATCCCGGGGTCTTTGACGAGGCAGCAGTCAGTAACCCTTTTTGCTGACTTCTCAGATGACTCAGTAGTGGGGCAAGAAAGAAAGGTCACTAGTGGGAGCGTCCTCTTCAAATGCCCAACAATGGACGGTTGGGAACTTGAACAGGAAGGGCCAGGAAACTGGCTGACTGGAAGTGGATCATCCAGAACAAAACAATGGCAAAGGTGGTCGCAACCAGCATCACAGAGCAATCTGTGTAGAAGCCGTTGCATGGGCACGTGGCTGGGTAGACTGTCACTGAAAACACAAGACCTGTGAGACACAAAGGCCTTCATTGTGGGTGGAGACCTTGGGCCTCTGGAGCAGAGGCCAGAGCAGAGAGCGAGTCGGGCAGGCCAGATAGCCCTGTCAGGTTGACAGCAGGCTCAGGCACATAAGCAGTGCTCATTCTAGAAAGAAAAGGGCTCGCTTCTAGGCGACTCAGGGGATGGGCTGGCCACTAGAGGAGCCAGGCCCTCTCTCTCCATTGCCCTGGGCACCTGAATGGGGAGCCAAGAGCATCTGTGAGCAGGCCCTGTTAGCAACCATGGAAAACTGCAGGGATGCTGTCTCAGCCTGCTTTCTCCACCTGCACCTGAGCAGGATGCCCCGGGGGTCCCTGCTGTTCCCACCCCAGGGGTCTGTCAGGTGAAAGTGCTGGTATTAATTCCCTAGTGTGCAGAGCATTCTCATTTCCCAGCAAAGGGACAGTCCTCTTGGGGACATGTGCATGGAATTCAGTGCCCATAAGCTCATCTAACCAACTGTCCACCCTACCTTTCATGATTGCAATTAAAAAAAACCCAAAAACTCTCCTTGTCATTTCATTAGCATGTAGGGTCGCTGCCTCTTTTTATATGGAACTTTATAGGCCACTTGGACCATCTAGAAGGAAGAGAACAATATGGATACCCATGACTGTGCATGAGGCACGAATTAGGGCACGCTGCCCTCTCTAGATGGAAACAGCCGGAGTTTCCTGTTGTTCGGCAGTGAATGAGCATGAAGACAGTCAAACCTCACCTGGCAAAATTCTCTTGGTCTTCCCGGTTCAGCTCTCGGAGGCCCTCCTTGATGCGCTCCAGCTCCAGGGCCCGCTCCTCCTGCTCCTTCTCTTGCCGTTGCACTGAGGAAGGGAAAAGCAATCACTTGCCAAAGAGCCTGTCTGTTTTAATCATGGCGGGTTCGTTTTGTCTTCATATAGGACTTGCTGGCACCCGAGTGGGCAGCAAAGCCATATCGTGCTTAGAAAGGCAGGGCTGGGACTCCCTGGGCTGATTCGTATGCACGTCAGTCACGTAGAAGGGATTATCATCCTTGAGGGGGGCCAGGGCTTAGGCTCGCTTATGCAGATCTACAGTGATGTTGCTCTCTCTCTCTCTTTTTTTTCTTTTCTATTTCCAACTTTTTTTTTTTAGTTCTATTGGGAACTCTTACAGCTCTTATCACAATCCATACATATATCCATTGTGCAATTGAAAATCTACAGCCAGCCTTTTCATACCAGATCACCGCTGTGCTGTTCAAGCAGGACTCACCTGCCCCTCCCTTAGGCTCAACAGTTCTCCTGCCGTTGAGGTCGATACGAGAGTTTATTTATTATGAAACAAAGCTCAAACCAAAGCCAGCGCACTGCCACGGAGTCATTTCCAACTCGTGGCGACCTCATAGGACAGGGTAGAACTGCCCCTGTGGGTTTCTGAGACTGTCACTCTTTGAGGGATCAGACAGCCTCATCTTTGTCCCTTAGAGCGGCTGATGGTTTCGAACTGTGGACTTTGGTTCCTTAAGAATCAAAACAAAAGAAAAGCCACAGGAATGAAACAGAAAGTTCACCAAAGAATACCCTGGGCCAAATATCCACTTGACATACACATGGCATTGTCCCCAGATCCATTCATAGGCATTTATCAGAAACACCCAGGGATGGGAGTCAAATCAGCTGGATGGCAGTGAGTTTCCTTCGTTTTGAACCAGAGATGAGTCTGGAAACAAGAATCTATGAGCAGTGATACTCATCTGTAACGCTAACATAACCGTAAAATAGCATATGTGAGTTATATGCCAATAAACCTTTTTCATAATCAAATTATAGTGAACTTATTGGAAATATAGGTTGTCCCCAACCTATACTGTATTCAAGTAATGTTGAACCGTGTTTACAACCATCTTGTGTTTGTGAACTTGTATGACATGCAATTTGCTGATGTTCTTATTCTCAGATGTCTACAGGTAAGGTTTCTAACCCCAGAGACAAATAAAGACCAAATTTCTAAAGATAATTACGAGGAATGCAAAAATCATGACAACTTAAAAGGTATCCGGTACACATCAGAACCGACTTACGATGGAGTCATTGACATGGGTCCTGCCCTTCATCAAGGACTCCTGTAATCTGAAGGCCCGTTCACAGTGTTTACGTAAAATAAACGATCATCTATTTTTATAATGGATTCCCATTAAAAATCAAATAACTCATGAAAATGCTATGACAAATGAAAAAGAAAACTATGAAATAATATACAACATAATCCTAATTGGTGAGGAAAATTTACATATATAATTACATATATAAAGACAAATTCACTGCCTTTGAGTCTTTTCGGACTCATAGCCACCCTGTAGGACAGAGCAGAACAGTGCCCGTGGGTTCCGGAGACTGTTTTCTGAGGGACACAGCCTTGTCTTCCTCCCATGTATGCTTATACACACAGGAAATATGCCAAGTCGTGAACAGTAGTTATTCCTGGGTAGTGCTAGGTGGTAGATACAGTTTTCTTAATAATAAATGGTTTAATATACTTCTAATTTCTCAACATTTTTCTCACTTTTCAGCCAATTACTATCTTCACAGTTTCTAATCATTTTGCCTAACAGTGGCTCGATAGTTTTAGTGGCTGTCATGATTCCTGGGGGAAAGAATTAGCCAATGGAATGTCAGGATGTGGATAAAATCTCATGGGACCTGGCGAGATGGACAGTAAGTCTATCTGTCTATCCCTCCGTTGCCTCTCTAGTTCATGGAAATGGTAGGAATCAGAAGGTGGCAGTTCACACTCTTAACAAACATTTCCTTGTATCACCCAGCTCTGTGGGAGGCTGAGGTAGTCCAATGGGGTGCTAAGACGGAGATGTGAGCCAGACCCTTTGGAAGCTCTGGATGGAGGATTTACTTTGAGTTGGGGAGCTCTGAGGGCTTCCCAAGGATGTCTAGGGTGTCTTGGTATGATGAGCATCATAAGTAGAGAATACCACCTGAGCAAAGGTCTGAAGCAGCTTGTGGACGAGGGACAGGTAAAAGGGAGGACGGAGAAATGAGAGTTTGTGCCTCCTCTTCTCATTCTCTCTTGTAGCCATTACGGCATGCAGACTATTCAAAGGACATCTGTCCCTTTAGCCTTGGGAACATGCCCTTGTGACTGCTCAGGACCTACTGGGATATGAAACATCTTCAGGTGCTGAGCTGAGATCTTCAAAAGCAGAGATCTTGTCCCTGGGATCCCTCATGGTGTTTCGCATGTAGGATTACGATGGCTTCAATCGTATCCCCTAAAATATGACCCCTGGACCCTTGGCTATAACCGCATTGGGAAGTGGACTTTTGTTCTGTTAATGGACAGGATTCAGGAAAGTGTGTCAACGTCTATCTCCTTTGAGACATGAAAGAGATTGAACAAGCAAGCAGAGATGAAGAGAGATGTCAAGCCATGTGAAGACCCCCTGGGCGGAGAAGCTCACAAAAAGCAAGGACCCTCCTCCAGGACCAACGCAGAGGAAGCTTTGCCCTGTGGCTGGGGGACTTTGAGGGCGAAGGTGCACCTGGCCCACACCATGGTCTTTTCAATCACCTCATATGTATGTTGGACGCTGTATAAGGAAGACTGAAGAAGGACTGTGCATTCGAATTATGGCGCTGGTTCAGAATACTGAACGTGCCGTAGCCTGCCAAGGGCACAAACATATCTGTCTTGGAAGAAGTACGGCCATAACGGTCCTTAGACACAAGGATGGCAAGACTTCGACTCATATAAGGAGAGAGCAGTCCCTGGAGAAGGATCTCCTGCTGGGCAAAGTCGAGAGGCAGTGGGAACCGAGAATGGCCGTGGACAAGATGGATTGACACGGTGGCTGCAACCGCAGGCTGGAGCCTAAGGCTCATGGTGAGGATGGGGCAGGGCCAAGAGGTGTTTCATTTTGTTGTGTCTGAGCCGGAACAGACTCGACGGCTCCTAGCAGCCTCCACCACAGAGCTGGGCCCCGAGTTTGAACTGCTGGCCTCCTAACTGGGAGAATCGAAATGGGTTTGTGAAAGCCACCAGGGGTGGTGTTGGTGTCACCGCAGCCCTGGAAAGCTAGGGCAAGTTGCAGTTGCTCTTTAAATGGATTGAAGACCAAACGGTAGTAGAACCGTATTTCGTTCCTTACATTTCTCTTGAACTTGGAGTTTTCTCGTACACATGACCTCGTTCGCAAGTTGTTGCCTGGCTTCCTTTTCGAGTTTCAGCTCCTTGTCCCTCTCCACCAACTTCTTTGCTTTCTCTTCCTCTACCATTCGGTCCAGTGCTTTCTCTTGAGCTTTCTCTTCCTCACGTCGCTGTGCCAAATACTCCTTGTACATCTTCTGCTCTCTTATCATCTCTTTCTGCGGAATGCAAAGATGAATTCACAGCGTTAACATTTTAAGTGTGATCATGAATGGAGGGCAAGTTTTAAAACAAGTCTTAACCTTTTTGCGCTATAACATTTGCCTGTGAAATATGATGATTCAGGTGGGGGTGGGGAATGGGTGAGGGTACAGATGAAACAAGATTCGCCATAAGCTGATGATGGTTTCTCAAACTAGGTTATGGGCATATTGGGGGCTGAAGGGGGATGTGCTGTACTCGTCTCTGTTTCTGTTTGAAATGTTCTCTAATGCATGTTACAAATAAATTAATTCCAACACTTTCTCAAAATGTGTCTCAAAGCAGTTCCCAGATAACCTGTGATTGTAAAACTTTCTTGTGGTGGATTTTAACTTAGGTGGATGAAATACTAGCTCACACAAAATTAAAGCAGTCTCCAGTTACCTCGGACTTTACAGACAACCCCTCACCCAAAACTCACTTCCGACCTACAGTGGCCCTGTGGGTTTCTGAGACTGTAACTCTTTACACAAGTAGAAGGCCACGGTTTTCTCCCCCAGAG